GCGCGAGCGCCGCCACCCGCTGAAATCCCGGGAAGGTGCCCAGGTGGGAGGCGATGCGGGTGCTCAGCAAAGCACCATTGCGCTATAGCAGCGGAATTAGGACAGGGACAGGAGGGACGGCCGCACCAGAGGGACGTCGCTCTGACCCTTGGCTTGGCTTTTCCAGGCCCTGGTCCTTGGGAAGGCTCCGGCTCCAGCGGCAGACAACGCGCGAGCCCAGCCGGCCACAGCGGGACCGGTGACATTGGCAGCCGGAGCGAGGCCTGACCTTGCGGTGCTGCCGCCGGATCAGGAGGGGTAGTGCAAATAAGAGAGCGCGTCGCAGAGAGACGCTGTGTGCAGAGGCAGAGGGACATTTCGCGCTTCACCTTTACTTTGCCCAGCAAACAGCTCCCGACGTGACAGCGCAAAGAGGCAGGGGGGGCGCGGGCAGCCCTGTCTGCCCCGGCTCCCACGGGCTCCCTGTGCACTTGGCAGCAGCCAACGGCGGCAGAGCCCAGCACAGACCTCGCTCGCTCCTGTGGAGCGTAACCGCGATGGAAACTAATCCAAGGGCCGCGCCGCAGCCCCCCTGCTTCCTGCACGGCGCGTCGAGGTGTTCCCGTATTCCTGCACGCGGCTCCCTCCGAACGCACCCGCGGCTCCGGCCAGATGCTCCAAGGGGAAACGAAATCCCCCTCGGAACGGCGCCGAGGCCGCCGCGAGCGGCACGTTCTGTGCGGGAAGCTGCTTCACACCGACTGTCCCAGCTCCCACAGTTCTGCTCCCGCCTCTGCCTCCAACCTGCTTTTTGAGCGTCCCCAAAGACCGTGGCCTCCGCGGCAGCCCATGGCCACGAGTCCCTCCAGCAAACAACAGGCTGCTGCCTGTCCGGGCAGCCCCTGAGCATCCCGCTGCCCCCTGCGCCTGGAAAACGGCCTGGCTGGGAGGGGTCCCTGGCCCATTCCAGGAAAATCCAGCTCATCTGATTTCTGTATCAGAACTGGGGAAAAAGCATCATTTTCCCAAAGGTCCCCAGGCTCCCGGAGCAGGGAGGGGAGGCGAGGGCCGGTGAGCGCTCAGTGCGTCCAAGTGACTCGATTTGCTGGCCACGGGCCAGGAACTTTTCATGCGGATTCCCAGCCCCAGCCAGGAGGTTCTCGGGTGCTAGAGCAGCTGCTAATTCAAACCAGGTGCCTCGGAAAGGCGGACTTGGTCGCTCGCCCTCAAAGCAAACAAAGCGGGTAAATCACGCACGTTGCACTGAAATATTCCTGCAGGAACCTGGCTGCTCACTCCAAACGATCTGCCGGAGCCTCGTGCACCGGGCAGGGCAGCAGGAAACCCGGGACGCGGTGCCGCGGGAGCCGGCGCGGCCCGGCCACGTCCCCGCGCGCTTCCCGCTCATCCGCTGCGCTGAGGACACCCAGGCGGAACACGATGGCGATGCAGGGCCGGGAGCGGGGATTACCGAAGGGAGAGGGGGAACCCTGGTGCGCCGGGCTTACCCCGCTATGACGATAAAGAAGTCCAGGCGGTTCCACGTGTCCCCCAGGTAGCACTTCTTCCCGAAGATCCCCAGCGCAATCATCTTGACTATCATTTCCACGGCGAAGAAGGCAAAGATGAAGTCGTCAAAACTCTGGAAAAGAGAGGGGGAAATAGAAAGGGAGCCGGGGAAAAGCCCTGCCGGGAGCCCCGGACGCTCCCCGCAAGCCCACGCTCCCCCGGCACGAGGAATTACAGACCCGACCAAGGACCGCTGCACCAGGACTGGGAGCGGATCCCGGCGGATGGAGCCAGCTCCGCGCGCCAGCGGCCGGGACGTACCTGGAGGATGCGGCAGCGCGGCGAGTCGCAGGCGATGTCCTCGCAGGGGTGGAACATGCCCAGCGTGACGCAGTTGAGCAGGATCACCAGCATGCTGACCCGCTCGAACCACGTGCGCCGCGGTCAAGGAAGCCAACGGCCCCGGCACAGCACGAGCACGGCCGCCCCGTCCGACCACGGGGGCATCGCAGCAGGCCCAAAAAACCCAGATCCTGACCCAAATTTCTCACCCTGCTGTACCTGCTTCCCCATGGTGACATCTGTAGCTAGGGTGAACATGAACAGACTCTATGAAATTAAAGTTGCATGGCAGTGCTGCCGAGGGCACTGCCAAGGGTATGATGGATTAAAAAATTAAATGAGGGATACAAACTTTTAGGGAAAAAAAAAAAAAAAAAAACACTAATGCCCTTTCCTGGCATTTTACAGAAAAGCACTTTAATGACATTACGGTTCCCTATTAGCTGTGCCACAGCTTATCCCAGGGGTGTCTCCCTCCAGCCAGGGATTGAACTTTGCATTCCCAACCCAAACTAAGACTGTCAAAAACATTTACCAGCTGCCAGAGAGGCTGCAGCCTCAGCGAGGCCCCACAGCACCCAGTCCTGACCCGGCGCTTTGGAAGAGCCGGAGGCTCCGGGTTTCGGTGCATTTGAAGGACCTTTCCATAGAAACTCCGGTGAAATCCCCCAGGACTGAGTCACTGGGAGCTGGCAATCCGCATGACACAGGTTTTTTTTCCTGCTGCCAGGTCGTGGCTAGGGCCCGGAATATTTATCCCAAATATAGCCCTGCGGGGGCACACAAGGAAGCTCCCCGGGTGCCGAGCACCCATGTGCAGAGCCCGCGAGGACCTGCAGAGCCCTCGAGAAAGCAAAGAGGGAAAAAACTACCGAGCTGCAAGACCCCAGGTCAGCGACGGAGCGAGTGCGTCTGACAAGGGCTGTGCAAAACATTCCCACGGAAGCGGGCTCCGGAGCAGCCCGCGATGCCGGGGGGCCTGATGAGACAGACGGGCGCTCCCCCCGGCCACAGCTCCCCGCGAGAGACGGGAGCATCACGGGCATGCGGCGCTTCCTCCCACCGGAGCGTCGCTCCGAGCCCTTGCGGCATGCCGGGCTCCCTGGCACTCGGCACCGCGGGAATAGGATGCTGCGGAAGGGAGTCCTCACTCCCAGCCCCGTGCTTGGCTGCCTGCTGGGATCCCCGAGCCTGGGGACGGATGCGGCCAGGGACGGATGCTCTGGGTCCCCTCTGAGCATCGCAGAGACACAGAGCAGGAGCAAACCGGGAATACCGGACCCGCAGGCCTGATTAAAAAGTAAAATCGGACTTAGGCGGAAGACGCGAGTTAAAGAAATCACCGACGAAAAGCCAGGAGGGAGAGCAGAGCTGCTGAGGCCCCTGCTGACAAAGCCCCTGCATCCTGCGGGATCCAAATCCCTCATCCAGGTTCATGGCAGCCAGGCAGGAGCCAAAGGCTTCCCCAGAGCAAGCCGGGCAAGGCAGAGCCCCCGAGCGCATCCCAGCTCGGTGCCGACAGCCCAGGGCGGAGAGAGCCCGGCCCGGAGGACAGAGCTACCCCCAGGCCCAGGGAAGCCACCGCCTTTTCCAGGGGTTTGCTCCCTTGTCCCGCTTCCCTGGCCAGCGCCACGTGCCAAGCTCGCCAAGCCGAGCTCGCAGCCGTCTGCTGAGCCAGGAACTGCACAAAATTGTGCAAAAGCTGCACAAATGGTAACGCTGACAGCCGCGTTATCCGGCCACGCAGGAATCGAGGCCTCCTGGGCGGCCACGATGCCATGTCCCATCCTGGGAAGAAGGGATCCAAGCGGTGCCCGCGAGCTCCCTGCTCATCCCTGTGCGAACAAACCTCCCTCAGGCAGGAAAACAGCCGGAGGGAGCGGGGAGCCAAGGGGACGGATGGGGGTTGTTTGCTGATAGCATTTTGTTTTTCCTGGCTCCATGCGGCCCCGCTTCGCGGCACGTTGCTCCCATGGGCAGCGCTGTGCAGATCTAACCCCACACCTGATTAAATATTGCTGCGTTGGGGCAGCCGGGGCGCTGCTAAGAGCAATACGTTAATGCGCTGCCAGGAGACCAGCGGGCTGGGGGCGCTTTGTGTTTTTTGACTTTTTTTAATCCCCCAGCAGAAGGGAACTTCAGGCTCGCTCCTCTGCTAATGGGATTTTGAGTGAGGCACAAAGTGCTGATGGCTACGGCTCCCGAGTGAGCGGCTGACAAAGGGAAACGCTTCAATTAGCAGAAAGTGCCTTATTGAGACCTGCCTTGTGCTCCAGAGCGGCAAAGCGGCCACCAACCTGCCTCAGCATCCCGAGCGAGCATCCTGGTGCTGCGGGAGCAGCCCCAGCCGGCAGGATTCCATAGCTCGTGAAACCAGAGTCCAGCTTTCCAGCTCCACTTATCCCTGGCCGCTTCCAATAATCCACTTTTGCCATCAGCTTTGTTGAGACAGGTAACCAAAGCATTCACGGATGCTTTCCGAGCAGAAAAATCCCATTTCAGCTACATGGAAATATCCGCTAAGACTTTGGATACAACCTGGCTATTCATTCCCTTCCTTTAACATTACGACATCGAAGGGAAGTACCTGGCCAGAAGTCGCCTGCCAGGAAAAGGCCCTGCAGGGACACAGCACTCGGCAGAGCCACCCTCTGCACGGAGACACGCGCTGATCCCGCTCTGATCCGGCGGCTCCCGCGCCGGAGGCACGGCCTGACCTCGGCTAATTAAGAGGCAAGTGCCCGCGATTCAATTACCCCGCACTTGGTGGGCTTAATGAAATCAGGATGGAAAGAGATTGCATTACACCGAGTCCGATCCGCTCGCACAAGCAGGGCTCAAATTCAGCCGCATCCAGCGCTTGCATGCTGGCATTTTTATTTCATTTTTTGCGCAAATGCCAAGCAAAAATTGGGTTGAAATGACAGCCTTCCCCTGCAGTGTCACCACATCCCACCAGCTTAGGAGCAGCACCAGGATAAGCTGCCGCCGTTAATGAGCGCGGAGTCGGAGGCTTCGCTCCTATCATCCGCTCCAGAAATAGCCCCTTGACAGGAGCACAAAGGGACTTCCAGGGCCCGGCCTTGCGGGGAGAGGAGCGGCTGAAATCCTAAAACATTAATTCAGGCCGCGCACGGGAGAGCTGAAAGCCCTTCCGCATTAATCAGCCCCGCCGATGGAAATAACCAGCCACGGCCTGGCCCGCGCGGGGAGAGCCCTGGCGCGGCAGGCCCAAACCCGGCGGCATGTTTTAGCAGATTTTTTTTTTTGACCATATTCCTTAAAAACCAACATCAGCCTCTATCTGCTGCCTCTCGGGTCATGCTCAGATTTTGTCTCCCAGAGCCCCCGGCCCCCTCGGATGCTCCCTGTGAGCAGCCCCGATGAGGATGGCCCCATACCCCACTTAAGGCCTCTTCTCCCACCATGTCCTATGGAGGGCACCACAGTACTTCAACCCAAACATATGTTTTTAACCCCTATCCCATTACAAGTCACCCCAGAGGATGCCCGTGTGCTGGAGCATCGCTGTGGGACACAGCCCGCGGGATTCCCACCACCCGGAGACGCTTCCTTGCGGCGGACGATCCAGCTCGGCGGCAGCACCTGGATATTCAGGATGCTGTTGAGCTGGGAGCGCCCGGCTGAGCCGTGCGCGTTCCCTGGGGCAGACACCCTGCACCAGGTTTCCTCTGCCCGCCGCACCGGGACCTCCCCAGCTCCGGACACCGGCACGGAGCCGGGATGTGTCGCGTGTTTCTCTTATTTTGTTCTTTCTTTGTCCTTTTTTTAGTCTCCTTCTACTTTCTCCCCCCGCCGGAAGCGCGCTGGTCGCCACGGCAACACTGGTGTTATGGGCACGGACAGAGCCCCGGTGACGTCCGCCGCTTCGGCATCAACACGCGTTTATGTAACGGTTGGCGAGAGGCAGGAACTCGAGGGCTCGGGAAGGAGCCGGCACGGGGGCTGCATCCCAGGATACCGGGGGCTGCACCCTCCCTGGAGCACGAGCCGGGAGCTGCTCCAGGAGGGAATGTGCCCCGGGACACTGCGGCCCAGCAGAGGCTTCCCAAGGCTCCAAAGGCAGCAGGCACCTCCTCTTCCTCCTCCTCCTCCCCCTCCTCCCCGGGGGACGGAGCCAAACCGCATCCCAGGCGAGCTCCATCCATGCCCCGCTGGGTACAACGCTGCCGGCCCCGGTGCTGAGCAGATCCCAGGCTGTTAAAAACACACGAGTCGAGCGCAGGAAGGGCTCAGCCGGCAGCGCGCAGGATCCTCGGCTCCGCGGGTCCACAGCGGTCGCTGGTTAATTCCACAGTTCCCTAATCGCTGCAGCCCATGGGTGGCAGGAAGGCAACGGGATGCAGTAACGGAGCAAGGAGCACCAGGTCCCAACAAGCAGAGAAAAAGCTGAACTTGGGGCCATCTGTGAGGCTGGTCACACAGGGCAGAGGGAATTCCTGCCTCCAAACAAGAGGAATGACGACTGGCCAAGGAGTTTGTGCTCCGAGCACATCGTGTCCGAGTCCATCAGGGAGGCAGGAGCAGGTCCCACCCGGCAGCTCATTCCCAAGACATCATCCCACTGTACTGCTCGGGACCAAGGGTGCTCTGGGGACAACGGGGGTCCTGGGCGCATGGGTTGTACGGGGAGCAGAGCGGGGTGTCAAAGCCATTTCCTGTGCTGCTCCTGGAAAGACCTTTCCATGCCCAAAGGGGACTCGTTCGGTACCAGACCCGCAGATCACGGGCCAAGGATCCAAAGCCATTAACAAGACCTGCAGTAATGCCAGCGAGCTCTGGGGCCGTTTCCAAACAGTTGTGCAGAAGGTGCAGGGCAGATGCAGAGCAAACTCCTTCCACCCACCGCCACGTGGGTCCAGGGTGCCCTGGAAGAGCCCAGCTCCCAGCAACAACCTTCCCTTCCCTTCCCTTCCCGGGATTTTAACCATGGGAGGGCACAAGCTCAGAGCAAACACAGCACTGGGGCCACTCAAGCTGCCCATAGTTTTCTGCCTATGCTTTCCTCACCTGGCTTCGATTAGGAAAAAGGGGAAAAAAAGAAAAAAAGAAATAAAGAAAAAGGTGTTTACAGAGCCTGAAGCCGATGACAATTTTTTCGAACAGAGAGCTTCACCGGCTCACTTGGAAACGGAGCCAATTTCTCCTTTCTAAAAAAGCCATCAGAGCCCCTGAACATAAAATAAACAAGTAATACATAAAATGCAGCGTTTCATTACAGAATGAGTACTTAATTTGGCTGAAACTATCTCACACGCGTCAGGTTTTAAAGCATAAGAGTTTAAAAAAAAAAGTCGGTATTTTTTCAGTGTAAGCAACGTAGTGCTTTCAGGGATGAGAAGAGCACCAAAACCCTCATTTTGCACGTGGGGAGATGGAGGCTGAGGCCACCTCGGCCACCAGGGAGGCCGGGAGCTGCATCAAAGCCGGCCCAGCAATTCCCAGCTGCCGGCACGAATCCCCCGGACACGGAGTGCGCGGCGCCGGCCGCTCGCCGTGCAAAACAACTCGCACCGGAGCGAGCCCGGCTCCCAGGCCTCAAAATACCTGATTTTAAAATACCTGCTTTCAAGATACCTGCTTTCTGCTTTTGGCTTTCATGGTTGCACTGACTTAAAAGCACCTTCCTATCTGCACAGAGCTGGCAGCCGCCTCGCTCCTCTCCGGATTCGCAATGCTGGCGCGGACGCATCACGGGGATGAATCCGCCCGAACAGGCGCAGGAAACCAGCGGCACCGACCGCCCGTC